TGAATACGGGTACAATAACTCCCGTTCTCCAGTCCGCTGGTGTCTTTCCCGCAGTCATTGCAGTTTGACAAACACGTGTTGGCCAGCAGATGCCTTGTCCGCCTAATGCCTTGAGCATCTCAGGCGGAATCGTCAATTCCGGCAGCTTTTCCATTTTTCAAGCTTTTCACAGCTTGTGTAATTTCATCTACAGAGATAGCAATATCCGTACCCTTCTGCTCTGCTCAATTCCGGCAGCTTTTCCATTTTTCAAGCTTTTCACAGCTTGTGCAATTTCATCTACAGAGATAGTAAAATCCGTACCCTTCTGTTCTACAGGCGAGTCTTCCTGCTGTTGCGCGGGATTAAGGAGTTCCTGAATATACTCCCTCCATCGCTGAAGAATGTCATCATCTTTGGTAAGAGGGTATCCAGACCTGTCCTTCAAGACTCTGAGACTGCCCGTCTTTTCACCTCGGAGCCGGCGGAGGGTCTGCCAGTAATATTTTGTTTGCCGTGTGGAAATTCGACTCCAACACCTCACCGAACTTCTCCCAGGAATCAGCCTTGGCTTTTTCCACTGCTATGGCTGAAGCCTTGCGTGCCTCGACATATCGCACGCGAGTAGAAGGCCCCTTGTTTCCAAGCCATTTCTTGAACGCTGCTTTCTTCTCTTTACCTGCCAGTTATACCTCTCGTGTCCACCATGAAGTTCTTTTCTGACCTCCAGACGCCAGGCAAACCCGGTTATATCCGCAGCATTTGGCGGCAGCCTCGAGTATGCCGCTCTTAAAGAGCTGCCACTCGGTTTCAATATCAGCTGTTATCGCTGGGATCTGTTCAAACCGTCGTGCGATGTTGTTTGAAAATTTCTCTCTCGTGTCCACCGAAGACAATGTTTCCCATTTTATTCTCCGGTTGCTTCTGCCACCAGATCTTCGTATGGTACTCCATTTCTTACAACGTAGCGTGCCAACAGCAAGGTGATGATCAGTTGATAGCTCAGCGCCTCTCTTAACGCTAGCAACCATTACTGAGCGTCATAAGTCAGACGATACGATTATCAAATCGATCATTGACTTTTGTGCACTGCTTCCTGGCACCAGGTGTACTGATGTGTTCTTCGATGCTCGAAGAAGGTGTTCATAATGGATAGTCCGTTATTTCCCAAAATCGCGACAACTTGATGCCGTTACTGTAGAGGTCTCTATGGTAGTTTTTTCCAATCAAGCCGTCAATTTTCAGCGTCTGGCCTAACATACGCATTAAATTCGTCCACTAGGGTAGAGACTAGGTAGTCGATGCTTCGAATGAAACACGTTACACTTCCTCAAAGAGGGACTGATGTTCGTGTCGAAGTTGGGCGCCTAGACTTGTAGCAATGTGAAACCCTTATTCCGCTGTAGCTTCAGGCGGGGGACTACCATACTTCCGGTGATAGGCTCGCATTCAATGATTCTATCGGTGAGGTTGGGTTTGATCAGAATAGCAAACCAGCCTGAGCGATCGTCCTGATGTGTCACCAGAGTAGAATATCTTCCACCCTCGGAGGTTCAGAGTTCTGAAGACTTGCGCTTGATTGACGAGTGCCCAACTACGTCGATTTAGAACCTTAGGCATCATCAATTAGTTCCTGTTCTTTCCCTTTATATAAGGAATATTACATGTTTCGGCTATACGCTCCCACTGTCGATATGGTTCCTGTTGTGCCTTGGCTGACGTTCTATAATGGCATCGCGCTATGTGGCTTATCCGTTCAGACAGTGTAGGTACTCTTTTGCCGATTGGTATGGTCGTCGTCGATTTGTCGATCTTCGGCAACCATTGTCATACTAACTTCGGCTGCCAGAAAGCGATGAGCGGATTCTGATCGCCGACGTTTTGCAGTCTGTCTCGATTCCACAACAGGCTACAAGGCCTTTGGCGGCCCTGGCGACGACTTAGATATTGTAATTTTTGATTACAATACCATGAGAAGCAGGTGGTTGAGGTTTACGGCGACTTCACCGTGGTCTCCCACGTTTCTCGTTTTTCATCCAGGCTTGGGACCGGCAACGGCGGAGTCGCCCTTGAAATATAAATAATGATTTATGAGTAATGGGAACTTGTTTGCTTTAAAAACGTAAGTAGCTTGAATATAATCGAACCGTTATATAATCGTTCTTTCCCTGTTTTCCTTGGCGTCACCATTTGTCAGTAAAGAAACTTTAGTGCAATCTTGTTTGGAACTACCTTGTTTACTGCTAGCTTACGATAGAAATTTTATTTGAATGTCTACCTCTTCTCCTTCGTCAATTAATAAAGATGACATTCCTCATCAGGCGTGAGTCCAAGATATCCTTATCTTATACAATCTGTCCTAAAATTAGTTCAGAGCTGTGTAAAATCCGGTTAGCAGAATCTCGTTAACTGACCATTTCTGGTTGAATGGCATGCGTTCACAGTTCTACTGTGGCTCTGAATTAGTCACACTGCGTTGTATTCCGCGTCAAGCGATCCAACACTATGCGGCTTCCCGACTTTCCTCAATGGAGAGGAGAGGAGGAGGAGTGACCTTAATGAAACTTGAAGTTATAGATAACAAAAGCTGGCAAAAGTTAGAAAAGAATTTCGTTTCCAGATTCACATTATGACACCAAGCGAGTGTGAATAACATGAAATGAGCTGGCATCTACGAATTCAAATCTTAATCTACTAATGTAAAGGACGAGATGACTGAATACTTCATTTTGACAGCATTCTAAAATTTGTGGCATGTTTTTAGATGCTGTGATTGATGTTCTGTGCACCTCTTACGCTGCAGCAATAACCTTGGATACAGCTGTCAGGCTAAAGGAAAAGCTTTCATGGGGGCTGTTGCGCACAAAACAGGATTCAATTTAATATCACTTGCCAAAGTGGTTCGTAATTAATTACTTCGATCCAAAATCAATACCGCTTTTGCGCCATTGGCATAGAGTCCTTAAACCATTTAAATGCTCTATGCTAGGCACATTCATTCAGCATAATTTATTGACTAAACGGGATATCTTGGATCATTTTTCACGCACGTTGCAAACCCTTCTTCACGTTGCCCATAAAGATGTTCTCGACGTGAAAGAATAGCAACAGATATGCAAAGAGACTGTTAGAAGCCTAGAACAAGTTTATCAGAGATTTCTCTACTTACCATGGTGTGCAACCTTCAGCACAAGGTTAATAAAGAAGTAAGATGCAAATTAGAATTTTAAAAAACATCGTACGTTCAGTTTGTTTATGAAAATCGGTAAAATAGAAAAAGCAGCTTTTACCTTTGAACGTTTGTCTTCTTCTTTCTTCGTATTCTTTCTTCATCTTCCCATTCCATTGCATTGAAGATTGCGTCGAATGCAATGCAGTCATTCAACGTTAATCCAATAAAGGTGTGCTTACTCATAAGTCCTTTCGGTGCTGTGCGATTTGCTACGAGTCATTGTCACCTTGTTTGAGCATCGCCCATTGATACATAGCATTGGCAGTCATTAAGCCACTTTGGTGCCAACTGCTGTTTACTTCCTTGCCTTCAACTCAGTAATTTGCACTAAATCAGACCATTTTATTTATAATCATCATCGTAGTCTTTTTCCATTCAGCACTGGATGAAGGCCCCTCCAAGACTTTACAATAGACTATCGTTTTCTGCCAATTTTAATCCGTCTTAATCCAGTGAACTTCTTCAGCTTATCTTGTCATCGGTAATCAAGCCCAGCTGCGGGCCGTTTACTCTTCCCTGAAGTCTAGTCTAGTATCTCTGATCCCGCAATGGTCGATTCTCTTTGCAACACGTCCTACCGACTGTCACTTAATCCTTTTCACTCACTCAATAATATCTCAAACTCTTGTTTGCGCTCATTTCCATTTATTCGTCCTTCTGGCTTTTCACCTTCTCTATGTGCTTTAAGCATAGGGTCCATTTTTCGCACCCACAAGTTAGCACAGGGTGAACATACTGATTCAAAACCTTCCGTTTCTGTCACAAGGACAGTTTCTCCTCTAGGAATGTTTTATGCCTTCCAAAAGTGCGCCATGATGTTTCTATTTTTTTCTCGATTTTACGCGGTTGGTTCTCCATTATAGAGATGAGCTGTTTATGACAGATTTAGTTTTGCATCTCTTCAAGTTTGAGTCCGTTGACTTCAACTGGCCTCAGGGTTACATATTTGTTAAACGATACCTGATTCTCTTTCGGATTCATTTCGAGGCCTGCTTTGATCTTTGCATCTCTTAGCTCTTCCTTGTAAAGCTCTAGGGACATTGACAGGATCAGAATGTAGTTTACAAACCGCAAGTGGCTTAATTAATATCAATATATGTTCATTTCCTGATTTTGTCAAATAAGTGTCTTCGAAACCTCTTCTGAAACTGCTGCGAATAACTTTGGTAATATTGCGTTTCCCTGTCAGACCCATTTTAGTTTCAACTTTGTCCGCAATAGTGATCCTAAAATCTACATTTTTCCAATTTTCATTTGTCTATGTTCCCCCTCTAGACCGTGGAACAAGATAAGTAGAACGTAGGCTCATTAAATAAAATCAATAAAGATAACTTTTACGAAAAAGTCACTTATACCGTGCCGTCAAAATTAAATAACTTGCTTTTGGAGTTTTAACTATGATTCGGACTTCTTTTCTTTGAATCAAATAACCTATCCTGACAGTCTCGTTCAAGTACTTCATGAATAAATGGAGTATAAAAGTTGAGGTTGAAATTTACTAATTGAACATGGTCTTCGAACAAGCCTGCTCTTCAGCATATAGAAAAAAAATTAAAATCTACCCACATTTAAGAAACAGACTGAAACGTGGTTTAAATTATGCGCTGAGTATCACACTGGATAGTCAGCTGTGAGGTGGGTCAAGATGAATTTTCGCTACAGAATGCGTTCACATCAGAAAGCACGGTCATGCCTCTCACCCATTCCAGTACGAACACAAAAAAGTAACAAGCTGACCCTGTTCTTTAGAAGCGGACGATGTGCTTTCGATTTCTCGGCTGGTTGCACCGAATCAGTACGAAGTGAATTCCTTCTGCAATAGAATTAGGAGCTAAAGGACATTTTTTTACTTTTTGAAGATTCCAACCTCCCGTCTCTGAAGTTCCAAGCCGGACTCTTAGCACTGTGCCTCCGCGCCAAGTGCCTATAAATAACAGACATCA